CTCGAGGAGGCGCTCGAGCTCGGCATGCTCGCCGGCGACACCGGGGCCCTCCCTCCTCCTGATGCACTCTCCGTCGCCGCCATGAGCGTCTCCACCTTCTCCCGCGCGCCGTGAATCCTCCCTCCCCCCTGCTCGAGACGCCATCAAGGTCCGGTTCCAACTCTTCTTCTCCCCTCGATCCGGATGCTCTGCTCTCCGACACCATCTTTTTGCTTGTTCGATTCAGTCTGGAGCAGGAGCAGCTGCTGCTCGCGACCTCTAGTTCCTTCTTTCCATGGATGTGCTGCTGCTCGGGGCCCTCCCTATGCTTCTCCTCGCTCGTACGGGTCCAGGTTAGTCTCTCCGACCCCGCCGCCTGCTCGTCCCCGTAAAATCGGTGCGTAGCCTCACTGTGTGCAATGTTCATCGCCTAGGGTTAGCTGCTCAGGGGACATGGTGTGTTCCGTGTGGCGCTGCCTTCGCGGCAGCCGCCGTTGTTGTGTCTCGTGTGTCGCGGCAGCCAATGGGTCGGGAAGGTCTGAGACTGGAGGTCCCTGCTCGCCAACTCACAGACGGTTGTTCTCCGACCAGTTAAAAATGAGTAAGCTTTCTTCCAAGCCTATGATTTTCCTTTCATCCTCTTAGTTGGTGCCTTTGTTGATGATGCAGCCCTGAATGGTTCAGATTTTTTGAAGGAGAAGGAGGTGCGAAAGGGGATGGGAGCAACAAGTCTGAATCGAAGAGTATGTTTTGATTCTGAGATGCATTGTACAGTATTTTTATTGTTCTAAGAAATCCATGTAGTTGTCTATGGAGCATTTCCTTGAAGTGATGGTTGGGTATATTTGTTTACTAATTCAAACTTCCAGATTACCTTAGTCGGCAACTCCAAATATTTCTTAGATGTCTTACCGCAAGCATTGTACTGCAAAAATATATATACTAAACCGGTTCATGATAGATCAACCAAATCTCGTTGATGCTCTCACCTATTAGGATATGTACATAAAAAGAAGGATATGCTAAATCTGCTTAGTCCCAACAAACAATCATTCAAATGCACCATTTTACGCTCTGGAAGCAGGAAGTGCAACTTCTTTAGTCTTTAGAATTAGAATGGATCAGGTGTACTCCAGATGTTTTCAGTTTTAAATAATTATGCACACAAGAGTGCATTGCGAAATAGCAATAAAAAGTTGGATTTTGACTGGTACCGAAAAGGATTAGACCTCCGTAGAAACAATTCGCTGCTGCTGACTCAGACAGAGTTGTGCTGCACCACGTTGATCTCGTCGTCATCGAAGTCGTTGATGGACATGCCCATATCTTGCCGCCTGCATGGCATGTGTAGTGACCATATGGACATGAAGCTGATCCTATTGCTCAAAGGATACATATTATCTTTATGTGTTTCCTGAACTGGTCGGATTAGCAGTGATGTTTGCATCTCCTCCCTCTTCCTACTCGACCACCACTTTCTTCTAGGAACTGATAGCATGTCCTGCCATGAGGAATTTGAAGCGGTCAGAAGACATAAGAGCCGGGTCCTAAACTATGTTAAGGCCATGCTGATGTGTAAGAGTTTGCGGGTGACATCCTCCATGGCAATCATATTCCCTCCAACATCCTTCAGGCCATGGCGACCAGGTAATGCTAACAGCTCAGTTGGATAAAGGTTCCTTATGTTTTGCGATTTAGTTGAGTTGGGTTACTCTATTGTGTGCCTCACGTCGGGGTTGAGTAGAGTTAATCTTGCCTATGCTAGTGCTAGCCTGCTGGATTTGGGTGATATCCAAAGATACATTTAAACTTGCAAACAAATTTCCTTAGAGGGGAATTATAACATGCAAGCACTATAAGTTCAGTGTATTATTATTAGTACTGCATAGCAAATTAGCAATCCAGTTCATTCATAAATAAGATTTCAACACACCATTGGTATAAAATATCGTACATAGTTCCGAGGTCTACATGCCTCGCCTGATCCTGAATTTGACCCATAAATATATTTCAGAGACACAACTGTAAATATATTAAGTAAGAGCAGAGGTGACTGTTGCTGCTGTTTTGCCGGCAAGAGGGCATGCATCTGTGCATACAGCAGCCACGGACTAAGCATTCCTTCACCAGTAGTAAGGTGTTCTTACCCTTGCATTCTTTGTCCCCAAATAAGAAATAAGAGGACTCTGTCTCCTGCCGCCATAGGGGGTCATCTGCCCATGTGATTCTCCACCGCATTATGGTCTTATCAAACGATGGTGAAGTCGGACTAATAACTAACCATAGTGGTGAGGTCTTTGCGGTGCATTCCTGGGCCTAGCGAGTCGAGCACCTGGATACACTGCACCTTGGTATTTTTAACTGCTAGGTACCAATAAAGTCTTCAATGTTTATTCATGCAACAGCTAGAACGAATATCTGAAAATAGGCATTTTTTTAGTTTAGGTCCCATCTATACAAACATCCGTCCTCGATTGAATTAATAGTAATATGTACGGAACTGAGGCTCACCATATCATGTTCCAAATAAGTTGTAGCTCTCTTTAATACCCATCTTGGTGCGTCATCCTGTATAGAGCTAAATTCCTTATCTTAGAGATGCATGCATTCTCTAAGAACAAAATTCATGTATTCATCAGTATTTGCTATGGGAGTATTGCGTCCAAGTTGGTACGATTCAAAAGCTACATCTTGATGCGTCATCATGTATGAATCATTTGTCTGGTCATTGCCCAGGATAGAAAATCATAAGATTAGTAGAGCATAACAATGTAGGTATTGTAGTAGACGTAGGATCGACAAAAGTAATTTGCAGGTTTTTAGTGTTTTGAGTACCATGTTCAACAGAGCCTCTCTTATCATTATCCGGCGTATTTTTCAAGTTGATTTGAGCCAGTAAAAGGCTGCATACCTGAACAAAGGAAAGAGAACCCGAATGTACGGTCAAATAAACATTGTCGACACAGTTGCAACATAATTAAGGTCCTGTTCGGTACCACTCCGCTCCACAACTCCAGGAGCGGAGTTGGCGGAGCTGCAGTTCAAAACGACCGAGCTGCACTTCCCCCGCTCCGCAGATTCCGGGAGCGGGCGACTACCGAACAGGGCCTAAATCGACGAACTAACCATCTTCAATTGTGCAACATGGGTCACGTATTCTGCTGAGTTGGGGTACCTTAACCCCTGAAATTTGGACGTTAGGCCCTGCATTCATCATTTTTCAACATAGAAAACCTTTAATGAGATGTGAAACGAACGGCTTATAGCATTCTGCTGTGCAACTATTTATTTTTTAGAACTCTGTTGTCAAAATTCTAATCCTGACTAATGTTGCAACAGGTCAAAGAAGTCGAACCTGAAGAAGTGCAGGGAAGAATTATGGTTGCGTGTGGCTGGCTGGTTCAGGGGAATTTCAGGGCGGGCGCGGCGGCACGGGTGCCGGAGCAGGCTCCTAGGCACTGGCGATCTGTCGGACGGATATTAGAAACGAAGGTGAGGTTGTATCTTGTTAGGTGGGTCTTCATTGGTCGTCGAAATCATACCTGGCCAATCTGATGGGGCTGCCTACTGCTCCAGAACTCATGCAGATGATGCATAATAATCTTGTTGTAGCCTGGCCGATCCGTGAATATTTGATTGTAGGTGAAGGAGGAGCGGCCGCCCACTCGACGGTGCGGTGTAGGGCGGCGAGGGAGGCCGGCAGGGAGGCCTCAATGCGGTGCAGGACGGCGAGGGAACCGTCCAGCGAGGCGACGATGCGATGCAGGGGTCCAGGCCGCCGTGCAGGGAGGCGACATGACTGCTGAGCTTCGTCTGGGGCGGTGGCGAGGAAAGGCAGGGAGTGGGGCCAGGGACACGATTAGGTTCGATTTCCTTTTTTTGCGAGTTGGTTAGATGGTTAGATTAGCGTGATTTGAGGGGCTGCGGATGCGGGACGGAGAGTTTCATATTTTCCTCTTGTGGAGTATGGTCAGTCTATTGAAACTGCTAAGCGCACACCAGATCTTGAATAAATTAATGATGACTGTTGGATTGGGTCGTGTGGGCTTCATCCTGTGGTGCTGATGTGTCTGTTTACGTTTTGCGGGGTGCACGTAACAAAGTTCTTGTTTGATTGTTTAATAGTAGTGAAGATTAATAGTAGTGAAGATGAAGAAAACCGTGTCTGATTTCTTTTCTCTTCTTACATGGCTATAATTTATTTTTAGAAGATTATAGGGGGCTTCGGGCTTCCCAGAAGAAAGAAGGGTGGTCTGAGTTGTGCGGAGGCACGTAGTCGATGGTAAAAGAACACCCGCAAAAAAAAAACCCGTCAAAGCCCAGCCCAAATTGAGGGAGAGGGAGAGACCGACTACGTATCATGTTGGGCCTTATGGGTTATAAAAGTGCCCTCACGCGGGAGAGACTCACCCCACGCGGCCACGCCACTCTTTCTCGTAGGCCCGCCCTACCCCAAGTCCCCAACCCCGACCTCGCGATGGCCGGCGACGGCGATTCCGACACATACCTGAAGCGCATCCAGGCGGAGACCCTCCGTAACGAGCACAAGCGCGTGTGTATTGACCAAGAGTTCCACAGTCCCGCCGGCTCTCCAGCGTCCTCTTCGCCTGAAACCGGATAAGATCACCCCCACCTCCCTGCCATTGCTTATTGCCTTGAAGAAATAACCTTTTTTTTTAAGGTGCAAAGACACAAATTTTGTCGAGAGCTGCAAACGCAACCGCTGTTTCCTTTTAGTTTGTGAACTAGTAGTTCAGTTAACAGCGAGATAGCACGCTCAAGCGTGAAGTTTAAGTGTGCCTGAAGCTTAAGTGTGTCCATGGGAAAACAAGTACTACTCCCTATGTAAAGTTGTAAACTAATATAAGATCTTTTACTCCCTCTGTAAACTAGTATAAGATCTTCTAGATCCCTCTGTAAACTAATGTAAGATCTTTTAGATCACTACTTTAGTGATCTACTCCAGATATTGTATTATACAGTATTAATTTACAGAGGGGGTACTTATTGGGGCTACTAGTATGGATCTGTCTAAGTTTGAGCTGAATGACACACCTCATATGCTTGAATCAGCCGACATGTATGCCCATCTTCAGTTTGCCCTTCCTTTATAAATTAACACTGTATTTTGTATGCTGAAATGATGGGCACTTGTTATAACCCATATGGCTGAACTAACCACAATAGTCACTGACACAGTATCATTTTGTCTAGGGTTGAGGAGCATGCCGGCAAGGTGAGCAGCAGTGAGCTTGGGTGTACAAGCACGGATCTGGCTAATTTTGAGACCCTGACGCTGAACGATACACCTCACACACTTGAATCAGCCGACAGGTGTTTCCATCTTTATTTTGTCCTTACTTTTATTAGTTTGGTTTGTTCAAATGTTGGGAAATTGTTATGACATATATCGTTGAACTAATGGGTATTTATTATGACCGATACGGTTGAACCAATTGTACTACTTGTTATGACCTATATGGTGGATGCGGGGTAAATTCTGTTTAATGATGAGACCTACTCATTTTTTTTCTGTTCAAGCCAACCTGCAGGACCTTTAGCTTTCCCTGTTTTTGATTAATCAATACAATTAATTGGAAAAATCTTGTTGGTAATTTACAGTAGGCGGCACAGGTGGAAAAATGTCGCAAGTGATATAGCCATTGGTCATTTTGCAAAAAGTTAGGAGTGGATTCTGACTGCCTTCGTGTGTGTGTGTGTGTGTGTGTGTGTGTGTGTGTTCTAAACATGCTCCATTAAATGTATATCTCATGGTTAAGATTGATTATAGATTTATTTGTTTCCATAAGACTTCCGAGCCTCCACAGCCATAGAAGTTGACTAAAGCATGGATGTAAATTGTTTGACCTAGGGTGGTAATGCATGCTGACGCAGTCGATGGTGCCATTCTTGATTCCACACTTGCGGAGCCACCAGCGCACGAGAAAGAAAAACCAAGGTAAGGACTCCCCAAACATGTTTTAAATGATGTATACTGATTTTCAGAAAGCACTCGTGTTGTTACGTTTCTTTAGGTTAACACAATAGCTTTATGTATTGGAGCTATGAATTGTCTTTCATAGGTCATAATGGAAAGTAGCATAGTTGCTATGCCTAGTGAACCCCACGTCATCTATATTTCTAGAACCAGGTTTTAGTATCACACCCATACCCAGGTACTGTAATCAATGGTGCATAGTGAATAAAGCAAGGTTCATTACAGCTTAAAACAAGTTCAATTAAGCTGAGAATCCATTTATCACAACTTGTCCCTTGTTGTATCATTACATGAACTTCGTCCTACATCTATGTATCGGACCCTGGGATCAAGATTATATAAATCTAGTTGTAGACAATCATATGAAAAGCCTCACTCGATGCAACTGAGTTGGAGTGTCATCGCTTGGCATAGCATGATAAATCCCGAGCTCTTACCGCATGAGTCGCTCGATGGAGCTGAGCTTGAGCGTTATTGCTTTGCCTTAAACGGGATCAGAGAAACGTCTAAATAATTACCCGTAGCAAAGAGTGGGTCTTACACTAGTTATTAACCATTTTTGTTGACTGTACTCTGATGTTTCTATCTAGGCGGGAGATACCACGAAAATATTGGCCACCCAAATATGAAGGTGATATAAAATTTGCAGAAGAACAAGCTCGAAAACAAGCTGAATCAATTCAAGAACGAGGACATTATACTTCTTCTAAGGAAGAACTTGCTCAAAATGCGAATAGATGGATGACCGAGGAGGCGATGGTGGCTTTCAGAAAATACATCGAGAGTGAAGATGATCTTAAGGTTCCCATGTCTGTTCTAAATCTTTAATTGTTTGGACTGTAGAGACCTATCACTAACACTTCTTTCATCTTAGGGAGTTGAGTATGAATTTGATGAACTTCTCCATCAATGTTTTAATGTGGAGCATTATTTAAAGACATGTCATCACTTCACCTTTACTGTCAAGATAAAGAAGCATGGCTCAGCCGATTGGACATCAGTGATGTACTTCACTGAGGTCCGCGGAATATTTATGATAAAGGATTATTTCTGTTATCCTTTAGACCCGGATGAAAATGGTATCAGAAATTTCACCTTGTGAATTCTAGTGATCTAAAAAGATTCTAATCTTGTGGCTTATTTTGTTAGGTCAATGTTATGCATGTCAGAACCAAGGAATGCATGAGTTAAGGCACCCATCAGTAGGGATATTTGACTGCGGCAAGGAAGATGCATCATTTCCCTACTATTGTGAGGAAAGTGACTCTGATGAATATCATCCAAAAATGGAATGGAGTGAATCTGATGATGATATGAGTTGATGGCATTGTCCATCATTCTTGTAGGAGTGTAAGTTTACTTTAGCCCTTCTATTCTCATATCCTCTTGATCTGTTGACTCAAGTCAAGTTGCTAGTTGATTTGACAATCGCAGTGTATAATCGACTACAGGCATCCGAAAAATGGTCACTTGCCGCACAGCAATGGTTTATCAGGGTTCACCCCTAGCTCCAGCAGTATCATCCATGGCTGGCTGGGACCTTTTTTATTTTGGGGTTCTATGTAGAGAGACTGGCTGGACATGGGATGTGCTATTATGTATTGTTGGTTATAATGCCACACTGGTGTTTGCTCTGATGCAGCCGGTTTGTTTAAGTTCTTGGTTTCGCACCTGGTGAACTGTAAGTTTGCATGTACTTTTTTTTGAGTTGGTGTTTTCATGTACTTGGAAGTTGGAACTGATGAACATCATCTGACTCAGACACCTGAACTGTGTTGTCCTTTTGTGATGATTTCTCTTTATCTGAAGTTGCTGATGCACTTGAACTGAAAGATATCTTGCTAGTAACGGTATTGATGTGGTGCCACCTGAAATATTTCCTTATCTTCAATCTGTGCTAGTGCCTTCACATGACCTTCCAGGGCGTGAAGCAGAGAGACAATATAAGAGGGGAGACGCTTTAATCACACCGACTGATTTTAGCGTAGCAACAACCGACTCGTGTTTGATTATCACGGAGCACCTTCTTCCGCTTCCTATTAAACCAAAATCTAGACAGGAAATAAGTGCTTATTGCTGTTACCTTTGGTGGATTAGGCATCAGATTACTCATAAGTCCAATAAATGATGTAGATGCAAAAATAACTAACTTTTGCATATCTGAGGCTCAAAAACCCCTCTTCAACAGATGATGTATATGCAAAAAATAATTCATCTCTGTCTTCCGGAGATGTAAAATACAACATCTCACAGTGCAAATTTGCATCTCCACATACAGGAGATGTAAAAGCGGCGGTCGCGCGCCAACCGCCCAACTACCTTCATTTGGCTTCCGCACGACTGTCGGCCGCCGCCGCCATGGCTGACGCCGATGACCCCACCCGCCAGCCGCTTGTCTGACCCACCTTGCCACAACGACCGTCGGCGCGACCACGGTCCCCAATTTGGCCTCTGCCTCCATGCCGCCACCCCGGATTTGCCCCCACCTCGGCCGGTTGTCGTCGCGCCGGAGCTGCCTGCGAAGAAGCAACGGGGCGCCAAGCCACACGGTGGAGGCGTGAAATGACAGATGGCGCGGGGGCGCAACCCAACGGTGAACCAACCTCGGCTGGCCAAAATTTCGAAGCCGGACGCGGCTGCTGCGGGCAATATGCTGCTGCCGGCGGCCGTGGCTTCTTCCTTTGGCCAAAGAGGCCCTTCTCCACCTCCGCCGCTGCCCCTACGTCGTTCATCCTCCTCTTTCCGCCTCGAATCGCCCCTGTTCCATCGCCCTAATTCGTGTCGTCGCCCCGATTCGCCACCCCCACCGCCTCGCCGCCGCCGGCCCGAATCACGCCATGCCGCCACCGTCCCCACTGCCGTCGCCCCGATTTGACCGCCGCCCACTAGTTTTTACATCTCCATTTTGCATCACCTATTGAAGTTGCACTTTACATATCTGTTTTACATCATCTGTTGCAGTTGACCCTTTTTTTAGATGCAAAAAACACTTTTTGATGATGTAAATTTTTACATTCGTGTTTTACATCTCTAAATTGCTCTAATGATATTTCCACTCCTGAATGTCCAGCAGTTAGAGCATCTACAGCCGGACTTGGCAAATCCGACCCCCCTATACGTTCGTAGACGCGCCGGGGTACGCTCGTGGGCGCATCTGGATGGGCCTCATATTTCCGTCCCGGCATCCACATATCTCAAATCCGGACTCTCAAATACATGCATGTCGATCATACAAGCCAATGTCGCACATAAATAGCAAATATTGGTACAAAGCATAGATAGTGTTTACATAAATTTATTTTAAATTCCAAACTCAAGCATTGGCTCCTTGTTGCCATTGTGGGTCTACATGTGCTCCACAAGATCATTGAGTAGTTGTGTGTGCACCTGCTGATCTCGAAGATGTTGATGCTGAAGGAAATATGCCCTAGAGGCAATAATAAAGTTATTATTTATTTCCTCATATCATGGTAAATGTTTATTATTCATGCTAGAATTGTATTAACCGGAAACATAATACATGTGTGAATACATAGACAAACATAGTGTCACTAGTATGCCTCTACTTGACTAGCTCATTGATCAAAGATGATTGAGTTTCCTAACCATGGATATGAGTTATCATTTGATCAGTGGGATCACATCATTAGGAGAATGATGTGATTGACTTGACCCATTTCGTTAGCTTAGCACTTGATCGTTTAGTATGTTGCTATTGCTTTCTTCATGACTTATACATGTTCCTATGACTATGGGATTATGCAACTCCCGCTTACCGGAGGAACACTTTGTGTGCTACCAAACGTTACAACGTAACTAGGTGATTATAAAGGTGCTCTACAGGTGTCTCCGAAGGTACTTGTTGAGTTGACGTATTTCGAGATTAGGATTTGTCACTCCGATTGTCGGAGAGGTATCTCTGGGCCCTCTCGGTAATGGACATCACTATAAGCCTTGCAAGCAATGTAGCTAACGAGTTAGTTACAGGATGATGCATTATGTAACGAGTAAAGAGACTTGCCGGTAACGAGATTGAACTAGGTTTTGAGATACCGACGATCGAATCTCGGGCAAGTAACATACCGATGACAAAGGGAACAACGTATGTTGTTATGCGGTTTGACCGATAAAGATCTTCGTAGAATATGTGGGAGCCAATATGAGCATCCAGGTTCCGCTATTGGTTATTGACCGGAGACGTGTCTTGGTCATGTCTACATAGTTCTCGAACCCGCAGGGTCCGCACGCTTAAAGTTAGATGATGGTTATATTATGAGTTTATGTGTTTTAATGTACCGAAGGTAGTTCGGAGTCCCGGATGTGATCACGGACATGACGAGGAGTCTCGAAATGGTCGAGACATAAAGATTGATATATTGTACGACTATGTTCGGACACCGGAATGGTTTCGAGGAGTATCGGGCATATAGCGGAGTACCGGGGGGTTACCGGAACCCCTCGGGGAGACTAATGGGCCTATTGGGCCCTAGTGGAGAAGAGGAGGGGCGGCCAAGGGCAGCCACGCGCCCCCTTCCCCCCAATCTAAATTGGACAAGGAGGGGGGCGGCGCCCCCCTTTCCTTTCCCCCTCTCTCTCCTTCCCTCTCCTCTCCTACTCCCACTTGGAAGGGGGGAGTCCTACTCCCAGTGGGAGTAGGACTCCTCATGGGGCGCCCCTAGGGTGGCCGGCCCCCTCCCCCTCCTCCACTCCTTTATATACGGGGAGGGAGGCACCCCTTGGAGACACAACAATTGATCCATTGGATCTCTTAGCCGTGTGCGGTGCCCCCTCCACCATAATCCACCTCGATAATTTCGTAGTGGTGCTTAGGTGAAGCCCTGCGTCGGTAGAACATCATCATCATCACCATGCCGTCGTGCTGATGGAACTCTCCCTCAAAACTCGGCTGAATTGGAGTTCGAGGGACGTCATCGAGATGAACGTGTGCTGAACTCGGAGGTGTCGTATGTTCGGTACTTGATCGGTCGGATCGTGAAGACGTATGACTACATCAACCGCATTGTGTTAACGCTTCCGCTTTCGGTGTACGAGGGTACGTGGACAACACTCTCCCCTCTCGTTGCTATGCATCACCATGATCTTGTGTGTGTAGGATTTTTTTTGAAATTACTACGTTCCACAACAAATGCATCTGCAGAAAATTCATCAGTTGAGCCGCATCTTGATCTTCCGGGATTTCAACTTGTTCTCCAGGTGCTTCGAAATCATGGGTTTGGGCTACACCATCACCCTCATCCTCGACAATCATATTCTGCAGAATAAATACAACATGTCATTAGCTGCCATAAAGTTTTTGATTCCCACATCATTGCAGTGCTCGGCACAATTCCCCAATGAGCCTGAAGCACACCGAATGTCCTCTCCACATCCTTCCTAGCCGCTTCCTGCATTGTTGCAAAGTGGCTCTGTTTATTACCATGCGGTTCGGATACGGTCTTCACAAACGCTGCCCACTGAGAATAGATACCATTGGCAAGCTTGTATCCCATGTTGTACTCTCGACCATTGACGATGTAGTTGCACGGCGGTGATTCCCCATTGAAAAGCCTCCTAAACACTGGAGATCATTGAAGCACGTTGATGTCGTTGTGAGAACCCGACATTCCAAAGAAATTATGCCAAATTCATAAGTCATGTGATGCCACCGCTTCTAGTATGATGGTGGCCTCTCTGGTGTGACCATGATACATTCCCCGCAAACCTTTGGGGCAGTTCTTCCATTGACAATGCATGCAATCAATTGATCCGAGCATTCCTGGAAACCCCCTTGCCTCTCCAATAGCCAACAACTTCTCCGTGTCCTGCGCATTTGGGTCTCTGAGATACTCAGGTCCAAACACCTCCACCATGGTGCGGGCAAACTTGACAGTAGTCTTCAAGCACGTGCTCTTCCCCATCCTGACCATCTCAAGAATGGCAAGTGTAAGCATCCTCAGAGCAGTTGTGCACTTCTGCTTGGCCGAGAAAGAGAGTTGGCCGCAGCAATCCCTTGTGAGCTTGAAGTAGTCGTCGTGTGCCTCCACTCCCTTCATAATGTGCAAAAAAATGGTTTCCGCATGCGAAAACGGTGATGAAACCATGGATCATCCGGGAAACTAGGTTTGGGAGAAAAGTAGTCCTTGCGGTGTAGCTTGCTCCGGACACCCTGTCCCGGTTGATCACTCTTCTCCCTTTGATTGAGCCCTTGAAGTTGAGAATATGCTCCACTTGCCAGTTCATTTCCTCTTGCATGCTCATGAGCATGATCATGTCCACTTATTCGTTTGAATTTGACGAATCGAAGAACTCATCTTGAATCTGG